ATTCTATTTATTTGCTTTATTCTCATGCCAGGCTCATCAAGAAATCTTCTGGTTAGTATTTCAAAAGCTTAAAACTAGGGCAGAAGAATGATAAACAAAGGGTGGATAAAAATATTGCAGTTTCAGCATTTAGAACATGATGGTCCCCACAATCAATCAATAGGTGCCTATTCTAGTTAAAATGTCTATTATGGCTGGGCACAGTGGTGAACACCTGTAATCCCAGCAGCTCAGGAGGTTGAGACAGGAGGATTGCAAGTTCAAGGCCAGCCTCAGCAACTTAACAAGGTTCTCAGCAACTTAGCTAGACCCTGTCCCAAAATATAAAATAAAAAGGGCTGGAAATGTCACTCAGTTGTTAAGCACCCCTGCATTCAATCTCTAGTATAAAAAATAAAAATAAAATAACCTGTTATGAGTTTAATTCAAGTGTCGAGTAGAACTATCCCTAAAAGACCATATATGGGTGCTCTAAAGGAATCTGGTCAATACCCACAACACTAAGGACAGGACAATGGAGACTGTGAAGACCAAGAAAGGTGACCCTAAGAAGGCTTTCCTACAACAATGAGAACTTGGCACTTCCAGACCACAATCCACAGATACATCCTCTGTAACCAGGGAACCTTCCTATGGGGCTTCACCTTCATGAGTACATCTCTGTCTTGTCTCTCACAGTATTAATTCATTGAAAAATGACTTTGACATTTGTATTCATTCATCCTTTTCAGACAAAAAATCATTTAGTAAGGTGTGGTTTTCTAGATCTATAAAATTGAGAGAAGTGAGAAGGCTTACTAGAATTAGCCATTAATTATTCCACTTCATATCCATTCCATCTCATATCTGCTAGTAATAATTTACCTATTATCTGATTCCAGAAAAACCAGCAGCAATTTACTGTGTCCTGGTCAGGTAGATGTGTGCTGCATATTATACCCTCTGATATTTAATCCTAGAGACTAGAATACAAAACATTGAATCTAGAAAGTATATTCTTGAATGACTTGAATCATAACCCCCACAGCCCTACTGGCTTCTGGACAGAAAATTTCATTTTCTTAGGACAACAATGAAAATAAATTAATTAGAAAACAATAAAAAACAAAGATATCTACATGTATATCTTAACTAAAGAGTATTAATTAAGCCAAGGACTCAGTGAGAATTAACCATCTTTGAGTCCCACATTTATATAGCTAATTTTAGCCATCCAGATCAATACATCTGTATCCTTTCCTCAGACCCACTAGTGCATAATGTCTTTAGTCCTTCCCTCCTAGAGAGCAATGTTAGATCCCTGCTCTCAAGTGATCTAACACGAATTATTGACCTGGCAGATCCTTTGTGACAACTTAGGCATGACTCACAGTATAAACATGCATTGTCGTTGTACTAAAACCTGCTATATACTTCAGAACCCTCTAAACTAGCATTTTTAATTAACAGGAATAGAAAACTAGAACTCATCTAGGAGGTATTAAAGTTATTAGAAGAATTGTAGTTAAAGTATGAATCATATAAATTGGTCAATAGTGAATTTCAGCAGAGGATGGCAGCATGAGGATTTTGTGATTTATATCTAGCCAATGTTCTATAAAGCAGTGGTTCTCAGCACTTGGATGTAAATTAGAATCATCTGAGTAATTCTTTAAAGTTCCAATGCCCAGTAGTTCCCCAGACCTATTAAATGAGAATTTTTGAGGATGAGATTTCAATTTGCAACCAAAGTTAAGAACATGTAGTCTAGGCATTGCTAAACTTTTAGCATGATGGCTAACTTCGACAGACATATTAAATTATATATTGTCAAAATTGCCTGGACATTCCTCTTCCCATGAGGAATGAGGGCTCATCTCCTACTTCTACCTTATAGGATTTGGTATTGTGGCTTTGTGTGAATTGAATGCTATCTGGGTTACCTAAAAGTTTTTATTTCAGTCAGCACTAGCTTTACAAGAAATAATGCAAAAGATCCCACTCTTCTTGTTAAGCATCAGTCACCAGTAGAAATCATAGTCTGACAGCATGTCTGTGGTTTGGGTTTGGGAAATTTGAAAATTATATTTAATTCAAGCAGTCATTACTTGTTGCTTTATCATATTATCCCCTGTTCCTTCAACAGCAAAGACAACTTATATTTCATTTCCCTTAGTTTTTAACTACATATTAAATAATTTCACCAGTGAAACAAATTTGCCCACTCATTAATAGTTCAGGAATAGTCAAGTGAGAGAGAAGGTTGAATGACCCCTCAGTCAAAAGTTCTTAGTAAGGTAAATCTGCTGAAAAGTTATGCTTGTATGTGTGAATCTGATGCCCTCCAGAGACATGAATAAATTATCCTTAGAGCTACAATAACATTCTATCTTGATTGATCTTTCATTTTCCTCCACTGGCATCAATAATCAATGGTTAAGCTATACTTGATAACTTACTTTTATAAATGTACCTTTTTTATACAATGGGCCCATTATTAAGCATTTTTGTCCAAATTATATTTTATATGTATACTTTGTATCTTACATTTTAAAATGTTATTTTTAGATAATTGTAAATTTGTATACAGTTCCAGGATATAATACAGAAAAATCCCATGCATCCTTTACCTGGTACATAAATATTCAGTCACACAATGTGTGGTCACAAATATGTATATTCTTTACCCAGGGTCTTCCAATGGTTGCATCTTGCACAACTATAGTATTACATCACAACTAGGATATTTACGTTGGTAATAGTCAAGATATAGGACATTTTTATCACTAAGGATTCCTCATGTTGCCTTTATTCAGGCCTACTCACTTCCCTCCTGTTTCTTATCCCTATCCTTAGCCACTGACAACCACTTAACTATTTTCCATCCCCCCCCTTTTTTTGTACTGGATATTGAACCCAGGAATGCTTTACTACTAAGCCACATCCACAGCCCTTTTTATTTTTTATTTTGAGATATGGTCTCCCTAAATTTCTAGGGCTGGTCTCAAGCTTGCAATCCTCCTGCCTCAGCCTATTGAATTGCTGGGAAAACAGGGTGTGCCACTGCATCAGGCTTAACCTGTTCTCCATTTCTATAATTTTGTGCACATGTCTTCAGAAAAACAGGTTCCAGTTCTCCTGGGTAAATAAGACTGAAATTGCTGAGTCATATAATAAGTGTATGTTTCGTTTTAAAATAAACTGTGAAACTTTACATTTCCACCAGCAATCCTCATAGATTTCTCAGCAGAACTGTCAAATTATATTTTATTTGTTTGCTTTGTTTATTTGCAGTACTAAGGATTAAGGATCTCACCAATGCTAGGCGACCACTCTACCACTGAGGTACATCCCCAGGCAATCAGTTTTTATTTTAATTTTCATCCTAGAGGGTATATAGTAGTGTTTTATTGTGAGTATTAACTTGCCCTTCTCTGATGACTAATGATGTTGAGGATCTTTTCGTGTGATTTTTGACCATGTGCAACTGTTTTCTATTTGGTGGATTTATTCTTTTTTCTTCTTTTTGGCTTCAGTGGAACAGTTCATATGGTTCCATTTTATCTCCTCTCTTGACATATCACTTACATATATTTTTAAAATTTTTTAGTGTTTGCCATAGGGTTTACAATATACATTTAAAAACAATCTAAGTCCACTGCCAAATAACAATGTAGTGCAGGTACCTTTTAAGTGAATACTCCCCATTCCTCCCACCCTTCCCTATTTACACAGCTGTCATTCATTTCACTTTTCCATATGCTATTATCAACCAATACGTAGTTACTATTTTGCTTTAAACAATTATCTTTTAGAGCAACAAAAAATGGTAATAGAGTTAATTTTACCTTCAGTTATTCTTTCTCTAATGCGCTTTTTAAAATGTAGACCTCGAATTCTGACCTATCTAATTTTCCTTCTGCTTGAACAACTGCTTTTAACATTTCTTGCAGGGGAAGTCTGTTGATGATGAATCTCCCAGGTTTTTTCTAAGAAAGTCTTTATTCCTCCTTCACTTTTTTTTTTGGTGCTTCAGCAGCATTATTTTTTTAAGACCATGCATGTAATGAGAAAATTTCAAAGCAGCATTTTAAAAGAAAACAACCATGAATTCACTATAAACAGCATTTAATTTCCTAAGGGAGGATAATCACTCAAACATGATAATTACCTAAAACATTGAAAACAAATTAGCAATCACTAAAGGTCTCAAATAGATGGACAGGATCTAAATAGCATTAGAAATAATGAAAAACTTTCATAGTTGACATAACATTTTTATTATATAAATATTTCAAAATT